ACAATCGCTTCCAAGCTACTTGCCAACAGCTGCCATTTTTGAAAATATTATTTTGAAATAAAGTTACAAATAATAAAAATATTGTAATACAGTTGTTTATTAAATCGATACCTTATCTAAAATCTTAGGTACTGGAAAATGATTTATTCATAGTAAAAATATAAGCTCGATGCGTTTTTACGTTGCTGTCCTGCTACTGCAGAGGGCTTTTAAATCTATATCTTCAAAACCCCGGCCATTTCTTAGCATACCTATTGCTGCTCTTTTTTGTCGCTAGAAAATTAGTTGGGCTTTCCATTGACATCAACGGTTGAGCGGTAGGTGTACAGTGTGTCTAAAAAGAATGTACCGTCGCCACTACGTGGCGCTGGTGTCGCGAGCCGGTAGTTGGCTGAATCCGCACCAGACCACACATTCCCAGGCGCTAGGTGACAGCTGCGCAGCGGCCGGTAGTAGCGTAAGCCCGAACCTTCGTGACACGACCCCGGGGGGGGGGGGGGAGGGAGGGGAGCGGGCGGGGCAGCGCGTGTAGGGAGGGGTGCTCCAGCAAGCTGGCAGTTGTCGCGGCCAAAGGTCAAGGGGTCACACACCAAGCGAACGGACGCTGATGTGGGTTCGTGGGGATCATGAACTTGTGTGTGGTAGGTGCGTCTTGCGATGCACGGGTGAAACACCAGGTCTAAGCCAAAGGATTCAGGGGAGAGCTGAAGAAAACACCTGGTCAACTACGGCGAATAATAGTGCTGAAAAATGGAAAGTATGGGTCAATGCAAGCCTTCATGACTATAAACAACTTTCTGAGGACGCAAAGGCCAGCATTGAATAACGATATCCGGATCGAAATTTGCAATGATTTATAATTAAATGCCGAACTAATAGCGTTGCAAAACCCTCCTAGTAAATTGTCAAGTCGGATTATACCCACTTGAATTAAACTATCCTAAATAAAATCGTTAATTAACTTTCTAACACTGACGTTCTTTATCATACGATAAGTATGGGGTTAACCAAGATTCAGCATCTTCCGCGTTCAAACAATCACCTGTAAGGCTAGAACATTAATGGCCAGGTAAAAACATGGTCGGGATTTGATTAACCGGATTATAAGTCGATTTTTTTAGTCGGGATTTGATAAGTCGGATTTTTTTTTACGCCAACCGCATTTTTAAGTCAAGTCAGGTCACTGATCTATGACGTCATAAATGAGCAGTCCTAAAATGAACTGTGTGAAACTGTCCTAAACTGTCCTCAACATTTTAGGACTGTGTGCACACTCCTAAAATGTTCCAACTTCGCTACACCATCAGTGCAGAGCTTTCAAAGGGAGATGAAACTTACAGGATCTTATAGCATGATCGAGAGTCTCACAACTTGTATAAATGTATATCTCGGATTTTCTGAAGGGTCGCCTGAGATCAGGTCAGTCTCTCACCATTAAAAGTCAGGGGAATATGGAAATTGCTAGTTTGGTCCGGAACTGATACCTATACAACTATCTCAAATTCTCAAGCACACGGAATCGTGATTTCATGCGCTCCTTGCAAGGTCTGATGCTTTAATTTTGCTTTGTTGATCTTGCGTGACGTCATTTATCACGTAACCAAGGGTATCAGTTTTTCGTCAATAACTCCCGATCAACTAAAGCTACCGAGTCGATAAAGCCACTAATGGACATGAAAAGACCTGCCGAATCGATTGATATACAATATGACCTCCTTTGACCAGCTTCGTGACCTGACGGGCTGTGACCTGACCTTGACCCGAGGTTAACACCTTAACTCTCGCCCGTATTGGTGTTTTTCCAGCCGCAAACGTATAAGGGGGGGGTCCGTTGGACCCTCCCTTGCCGTTTCGCCCCTGATCGAGCTAGAGCTTCGCGGAAAAAACGAGCGTGTTGGCCGTGACGAGAGGAAGTCGATGATACCCAATTTTAAGGTCCTAGGTCATCGGTTGACTTTCCAGGTCAGGTCAATAACCCAAAAGTCGGGAAAATCGGGCCTGTTAGAAAGTCGTAAAGCGTGGCTGCTATTGGGTTTTCGGGGTGCTGATCACGAATATCATGTTAGTTTTGATCACAGATGATGTCTTCATGCATTTAGGCCAGGTCGGGTCAGGTCAGGTCAGGTCAACCAGTAAGGGTATTCGTAGTAGGTGGCAACCGCCTCTGACAGCTTCGCAACATGTTACGAGGGCACCAAAACTACTTCGTAAATGTTCATATGGCTGCTAAATTCGAATTCAGCTCCTAAAACTGGCCTAGAAACATGTAAAACTCGAAAAAGTGAACCGAGGTCATCAAAGGTCAATGACCTGACCTGACTTTCCGGTGACCTTGACACCCACCCTAATGCATGGAAGCAACATCATATCCCATGTTTGAACGCTTAAAACCACGAAAAGACTGCAAACGCGCCGCTAATGCGAGCCAACATACGCCGAATCGCGATTCCGGCCAAACATGGTCTCCAAAAAGAGGTCGCAGGTCAAAGGTCATTAAGGTCAGGGTCATAACAATTTCAGGGTGGGTGTAAAATTGATTAACGCGAGGGTAACGAAAGTTTCGTCGCGATCGGCCGCTTTTTACGCGAGTTATTCGCGAAAAACCGAGGGAGGGGGGTCCGTTCGACCCCCCCCCCCCCTCTATACGGGCGAGGGTTAAGTTGATCTCACCCGAAGAAAAAGTATACCATTCGACACGCCTGAGCTAGACAAACACGATGCTGCTAAAATCGCGATCTGCGATCATTTTTAGCGAAGTTATTTACCAAAGACCGAACCTGTGCCTTGGGCCACTTGACCTGACCTCCGAAGTCATCGGCTGACCCTGGTCCTTAAATCGGAGACCAATCGCTGCATTTCGTAACGACGCACACGATCGTTTCTTTCGTGAGGCTCTAGCTCAATTAGGGGCGAATCGGCGAAGGGGGTTGTTTCCTCACTTCCAACCCCCAACGTCCCCTCGGTATTCAGAAAACCTGAAGGTCCGGTGAGGGTTAAAACGTTTCTCATGAACGAGGAAGAAATGTAAAAGTCAAAGCTCTATAGACGTCCTGTTAAAGTGGGCATAATAATAAATTCGTTAGAAATAAGATGCTTTTTAAACGACTTCCTCATATAAAATCGGGTGCTGGGACCAATCTTATAAACGCTTTAGAATGGACAGGGCGTCACTGGCTAAAGTTTGGGTGCAGAAAACGGCTATTACCTAAATGCAAAATGGTTTTCATGCATTTCAGTCAATTGTATATTGTCGGTCTCAGTGGCCGAGCTAAAAAAAAAAAATCGGTAGTGTTTTGCATCTTTTACGCCCTAAGAAACAACACCATCTATCGAAGTGGGCGGGCTTATTTGAATGGGAGGGCGCATTATGCACGAATCGAGTGCTTTCGTTTATTTTGGACTGTATTTTACCACATCCACTGCTGGTATCACTATTAATATTATCTAATGCCGTGAATACGACAGCATTCCATTTATAAGATTGGGCCAATGGAGTCGCGCCCCGCGAGCTCGGTTTTCCGCTGGGCCGCTACAGGCCAGGAAGTCGGTCTTCGCCTGAGGGCAGGACAAAGGTCAGCGAGGGAGCGCGGGGTCAGCCAGGTATCGCCAAGTGCCGAGCTTATGCCGCTCCCTCCCCTCTCTTCCCCTCTTTTCCCCTCCCCACCTCGGTATAGATGGGGAGGGACCGAACTGCCAATGACATGCGAGCGGTCAAGGCCGCTCGCGCGGCAGCGACCCTGGCGGCCGGGTGCCGCAACTGGGATTCAGCCAAGTTACCGATTCGCCTCCTGTGGGAGAGCCCAACCAGGGGACATACTTTTTAGATATACTGTATAATGCCATCAAAAGGTAATTTTCAAATAAAATTAGTCATTTTACGTTGTAAAGGAACGGATTACCCCTTGCGAGCATCAGGGGTGACTTCACTCATGATCTGTCTCTGATTGGTCGGCGGGTGGGCGACTGTACCTACCTTCTATAGATGGCCTTGATAACTAATGTCATGTTTTTAGGTTATCGGAACTTATTTTGTCTTTTCTTTGCTGAAGGTTTACAATCATGTATGCATTTTTTAGTACCTACTTTGAACAGGCTGACGAAGGAAGATGGATGTCTTCCGAAAGCTACCATTATAAATAAATAAAGCTGGTGTTTGAACAATCTTTACAACGCAATAAATTGAGACAGCATTTCTCCAGAGACAAACGCTTTTTCATCCATTTACCGTTTTACTTACCGCCACTAATAAGAAGGATGTAATAGTTGTGCTCTTGGAGTTCAAATGATATCGAAATTCCTGAAAATTTGTGAACTGTTAGAAAGCAGCAACCTTCAGCATAGTTATTCCTGCATAATGCATATATTTCTTAAACTGCGGCGCCTGTCTGACGTGGGATTCCAAAATACTCGTAACATTGATTCGGCAGACGGCAACTACAAAGTAGACTGCCGACTGGTTCACCGCCCCAGGCAAAAGTCGTTCTTGTAATGTGTTATTGAAATTACCAGTAGTCATGCCTATATCATACCTCTCCCACTACGGTTCTTCGATCGGCGACGAGTCCGTGGATGTTTTTTAACGCTTGAAGAGCCTGCAAAGAAATGAACAATCATGCAAGAACAATCATGCTTTAGAACAAACAGCGCACCAGAGGCAGTTCGTCATTTAAAGTGTTTTTTCTGAAAAGTGTTTGTGATAATGCCTGTAATTGCCAATTTATTTAATTCATTTTATTTGGTCGTCTTATGTTATTACTGACTGACATTGACTCCTTTGGTAAGTCATAACATTGATTCGGCAGACGGTAAATGAAAAGTAGACTGCCGACTGGTTCACCGCCCCAGGCAAAAGTCGTTCTTGTAATGTTGTATTGAAATTACCAGTAGTCATGCCTATCTCATACCTCTCCCACTACGGTTCTTCGATCGGCGACGAGTCCGTGGATGTTTTTTAACGCTTGAAGAGCCTGCAAGAAGCAAAGAAATGAAAAATCATGCAAGAACAATCATGCTTTAAAACAAACAGCGCACCAGAGGCAGTTCGTCATTAAAAGTGGTTTTTCTGAAAAGAGTTTGTGGTAATGTCTGTGATTGCCAACTTATTTAATTTATTTTATTTGGTCGTCTTATGTTATTACTGACTGACATTGACTCCTTTGGTAACTGGTAAGTCATAACATTGATTCGGCAGACGGTAATTGAAAAGTAGACTGCCGACTGGTTCACCGCCCCAGGCAAAAGTCGTTCTTGTAATGATGTATTGAAGTTACCAGTAGTCATGCCTATTGCCTATACCATACCTCTCCCACTACGGTTCTTCGATCGGCGACGAGTCCGTGGATGTTTTTTAACGCTTGAAGAGCCTGCAAGAAGCAAAGAAATGAACAATCATGCAACAACAATCATGCTTTAGAACAAACAGCGCACCAGAGGCATTTAGTCATTTAAAGTGTTTTTTGTTCTGAAAAGTGTTTGTGATAATGCCTGTAATTGCCAATTTATTTTATTTGGTCGTCTTGTGTTATTACTGACTGAAACTGACTCCTTTGGTAAGTCATAACATTGATTCGGCAGACGGTAATTGAAAAGTAGACTGCCGACTCGTTCACCGCCCCAGGCAAAAGTCGTTCTTGTAATGTTGTATTTAAATTGCCAGTAGTCATGCCTATGTCATACCTCTCCCACTACGGTTCTTCGATCGGCGACGAGTCCGTGGATGTTTTTTAACGCTTGAAGAGCTTGCAAAGAAATGAACAATCATGCAAGAACAATCATGCTTTAGAACAAACAGCGCACCAGAGGCGGTTCGTCATTTAAAGTGGTTTTTCTGAAAAGTGTTTGTGATAATGCCTGTAATTGCCAATTTATTTAATTTGGTCGTCTTATGTTATTACTGACTGACATTGACTCCTTTGGTAAGTCATAACATTGATTCGGCAGACGGTAAATGAAAAGTAGACTGCCGACTGGTTCACCGCCCCAGGCAAAAGTCGTTCTTGTAGGTAATGTTGTATTACCAGTAGTCATGCCTATATCATACCTCTCCCACTTACGGTTCTTCGATCGGCGACGAGTCCGTGGATGTTTTTTAACTCTTGAAGAGCCTGCAAAGAAATGAACAATCATGCAAGAACAATCATGCTTTAGAACAAACAGCGCACCAGAGGCAGTTCGTCATTTAAAGTGGTTTTTCTGAAAAGTGTTTGTGATAATGCCTGTAATTGCCAATTTATTTAATTCATTTTATTTGGTCGTCTTATGTTATTACTGACTGACATTGACTCCTTTGGTAAGTCATAACATTGATTCGGCAGACGGTAAATGAAAAGTAGACTGCCGACTGGTTCACCGCCCCAGGCAAAAGTCGTTCTTGTAATGTTGTATTGAAATTACCAGTAGTCATGCCTATCTCATACCTCTCCCACTACGGTTCTTCGATCGGCGACGAGTCCGTGGATGTTTTGTAACGCTTGAAGAGCCTGCAAGAAGCAAAGAAATGAAAAATCATGCAAGAACAATCATGCTTTAAAACAAACAGCGCACCAGAGGCAGTTCGTCATTAAAAGTGGTTTTTCTGAAAAGAGTTTGTGGTAATGTCTGTGATTGCCAACTTAATTTATTTTATTTGGTCGTCTTATGTTATTACTGACTGACATTGACTCCTTTGGTAACTGGTAAGTCATAACATTGATTCGGCAGACGGTAAATGAAAAGTAGACTGCCGACTGGTTCACCGCCCCAGGCAAAAGTCGTTCTTGTAATGTTGTATTGAAGTTACCAGTAGTCATGCCTATACCATACCTCTCCCACTACGGTTCTTCGATCGGCGACGAGTCCGTGGATGTTTTTTAACGCTTGAAGAGCCTGCAAGAAGCAAAGAAATGAACAATCATGCAAGAACAATCATGCTTTAGAACAAACAGCGCACCAGAGGCAGTTAGTCATTTAAAGTGTTTTTTGTTCTGAAAAGTATTTGTGGTAATGCCTATCATTGCCAATTTATTTTATTTGGTCTTCTTATGTTATTACTGACTGAAACTGACTCCTTTGGTAAGTCATAACACTCATTCGGCAGACGGAAATTGAAAAGTAGACTGACGACTGGTTCACCGCCCCAGGCAAACAAAGTCGTTCTTGTAATGTTGTATTGAAATTACCAGTTGTCATGCCTATATCATACCTCTCCCACTACGGTTCTTCGATCGGCGACGAGTCCGTGGATGGCTTTTAACGCTTGAAGAGCCTGCAAGAAGCAAAGAAATGAACAATCATGCAACAACAATCATGCTTTAGAACAAACAGCGCACCAGAGGCAGTTCGTCATTTAAAGTGGTTTTTCTGAAAAGTGTTTGTGATAGTGCCTGTAATTGCCAATTTATTTAATTTATTTTATTTGGTCGTCTTATGTTATTACTGACTGACATTGACTCCTTTGGTAAGTCATAATCGCCTTACCTGGCCTCCGCTCCATGGTGACTCTCTTCCTTTTACGTCCAGAACCTAGGGCAAAAGACGCTATCAAAACATTCAGATGTGAGGTGGCGGCCAATTACTTCTTAAGTCTCAAAATGGCCTGTGCGAGCAGCTGTGTAACTGTATACAATTGATAGGAAGTTAGATAAAATGTACCTCTGCGCCTCTAATTATAACATGGAAACAGTGCAATACAGCGTATCTAACGCTTGTCGAAGAGAGCATAATGAAAATAGACCCTAGTCCTCGATTACCGGGTGTTCTTTCAAGGGCAACATGTTCAGCCGGTTTCGGTGTATTAACACCATCATCAGTGAATGAATATAAATAAATTCATACAAATACATCGCAGATATTCAGTCGTTCAGATCGCAAACCGGTCTGACTGACTAGGGGAGACTGGGGATAACTGGGACGCTGGAGAAGTGGGACACCTTCAATATCTTAGTGACCGATTGGACAAACAATTTTTTTTGTGCATATTTTCTCATGAATTTAGTCGGGGCACGTCACAGCCAAGCGGTTTCCTTTTCCGGTTGCCTGTCTCTGAGATATTGAGTTAGGGTCTAAAATGTGATTTTTTGGCATTTTACTCTAATTCAATTTGCCGCTTATTCAGCGATGTGAAATGTTCAGGCCGTTCACCTTTGGATATCAGTGAAGTCATCTTAATGGGGTTGGGAACTCGATTTTTTAAGAATGCATGAAAATGATCAAACTATTTTCACAGAATTTATGGTGCATACCATTGCCTCATAAAATCAATATCCTGAGAGAAATGGGGGAAGAAAGATAGGAAACTTGTTTTGAAAAGTTCTTGAAAAAAGATGCTCTTGATGCTGTTACGTCACATGTCACCTTCTGCGGTTGACAATTAATGGCGCATCTGGCGCACCACAGATTACATGTTATATCAATGGGTGAAAGATGTTGTTTGTTTCACTCTGTCATTCGCGCTGTTTTTAACTGTAAATTATGCTAAAACATTTACGGATGAAATGTTCAGTGTCAAAAATTGATGTGTCTGCCGTGTACTATATTCCCATTAACATTGAGCGCGTGATAAACATTTTATGTACCTCGAATTTTCAAATGATAAAGATGATGAATCGGAGGATGCTGAAAAGCAAAAGCTCATTCCAATATTTGGACTACTTTACGATTAAAATGTTTACATTCCTGTCATCTTATTGATCATTTATTTGTTCTTTTTTATGAAAATAACTTAAGGCGTTGAGAGCCGAGGTAATTTCTATCTACCGTGCCTTAACTTACCAGCAACAGCAATCTATCTACGCCCTACGGTGGCAAGGGAGACTGTGAAAGAAGCGTAAGATGGATTATAAACAATTCTTTTGTGATATACTGAAGGGCAAAGTGCAGAGAAGAGCGTACAAGTCCTGTTTTGTGCCAGGCTGTTGCAGTAGCACTTATGAAACTCCGAAAACGATCTTCGTTCATGTCCCGAACAACATTACCCTGAGGAGATGATCGTCTGCAATAGCAGGAAGAGCTGATGCAAGTACTTTGAAATCCACTATCAAGTCGGTGCTATTGTTGTAATGATCACTGTGAGGTGAGATATTTTGTGTAAGGGCTGAGTGTAATGCCCAGGAGATGACCTCCATTCGCCCCCTGACCGGTCAGGGTTATAAAATTTGAGTGGATGGCGGTCCGTTTGGGGTTCATATGTCAATTGTATTTTGTTTCTGTCAAACAATACATGTTATGCTGGCAGCGAATGTGTGTAACGTCGGTTTTCGAAACAGAAGTTAGAACTGTAACGGCAGAGTGCTTGCTGGTCTCATCGTAAGTATTGTAAGTGTTGTAAGCAAAAGCATTGTCAATATTGTAAGTATTGTGAGCATTGATGTATGGTAGATATCACCTCACATGATCTCGGCTCAGATAACCCTCTCCGGTGTCCCGTTAGGCGGCACGGGCGGACATCGATAGCAGCGCCTCTATCGGTCACTAGGGAAAGCTGGGCTGTAGGCGACGAAATACCGGCTGAGTTGTCACAAGTTAAATAGGTTTATAGACATCCGTCTTGTGAAAAAGTTGAACTTTTGCCTTCAATATTTCTACAGGCAATTTTTAGAAGTGCCTTCACATAGATTACAAAACCGTTTAAATTATTTTATTCACTTCAAGCCTTCCCTATTGTTCTTGATAATGCGGGAACTATTTCTAATTAGTGTTTCTAGCTTAGTAAAAGAACATATTGTGCAAACGATGAAAAAAGCATAAATGGAAGATTTTAAATGCAATTTTCTGTAACAAATAATGGTAAATTCTCTACACATCAAGGAAAAGGTGCATGCTAACTGATAATTTAAAGTTCTTGGGGCCAGTTGGTTTCTTCTTTTCTTACGTCGCCCCAATGGCCGCGAATACACTTGTGATAACGCCTATCGCCTGTCAGTAAATGGCACCTGGATCATTACAGATAAGATAATTTGTCATTATTCTTAAAGAATTGGGTGGTTTTGACTCGTTTACTCGAGGTGCAGGTCGCATTTCAATACTTTTCCATAGGCTTGCAATGTAAAGGTCACGACTCTGACCTAGCCTCAGGTAACAGATCAAAAATTCTGAGATATACGAACGACACATACTGCAGGTACTGTTTTGAAGACTTGATGAGAGGAAATAACTTCGTGAAAAACTCAAGCTCTGACGTGTTTGCAAACTTTTCTGAGGTGGGGTCAACAAACCCGCTCTGGTTACCTGACCTGACCTGACCCGGCATTTTTTTTTTGCTGAGATGTGCGCAATGAGCATTTAGGAAAAGTCACCAAATATGAGCTGAATGTCTCGCGGCGTTTGGCAATTGTACAAGAAAATCCTGAAAGGCCTCCCCGTCCGAAATAGGGTTAATGTGTATATGAAGAGTTGCAGATGCCAAACATACCCAGATCTAAGACTGCAGTTCCCAGCGCCGCTGCAACGTTTTTAAAACAAACATACATAGGACATACAAACATGTTTATTTGCATCTGTTTTGGATAAAAGCAACTCATGGCGCCATCACCCGCGATAACTGTTAGGATTTGAGATATATTTTTATTTAGGCCATTAGTTTGGCTGTAATGTTTATTAATATTAGTTGGGCGGAGTTTGGTAGTTTTTTATTTAACTTGTGGTATGTTGTGCTGATTGCGGGTTGTTCAAACCTTTCAAATGTAAGGACCTTATTGAACTCAACCCTACCCCTACACTACCCTACATACGACTGGACGCTTTCCAAGCCCACAAGCATCACGACGCCGAGATGGAATGTAGCCGGGAAATCACCCTCGCCATCTGCTCTAGAGCTAATCGTGTGGGGCGGCGTGTGGGGCGCCGCTTAGCCTATGGGGGTGCACTTCTAGTGGATGGGGACGGGGGTGCACCTGCACCCCTTTCATATGGAAAGTTACTTCCCTGATTACAGCTCCCCGTATTGCACCTAATCAGGGAACGGCCAGCAAACGGAGGAACTATTTCTGGATGACAGGCGAATAACCGCTCACGCAAGGAGCGGAGCTCCGCCCCGTCCAAACTGGCCAACAAAGCAGAGACAGAGGCAGCATCACATCTTCCATCAAAGAACTGGTTTCTGGCTTGGAAGATGAGCTCCATCTTTGCATCCGAGTCGGTGCTGTCAGGAATCAGCTGGTCTAATGGAGTGAGAGTAGTGAGACGACTAGCTATTGTATCACAGCTGCCTGGTCTTCGTAGCATTTGCACCGATTCTTCTCGATCGGACTCTGAATTCTGTCCCTCCTGCGTATTACTTGAGGCATTGCTATGTAGCTAAGTCTTTGGCAGAGTTTCATTATCCATGCTTTGCAAACAGTGCCATAACAACACAGTTAATTAATCACCAAGCTGTTTTGCAAGTTCCAATACAGTTGAATCGCACGCGATTTGAGTGCAAAAATCAAGAAAAGTGTCAATTTGTTCCAGTAAAATATTTCGAATATTGACCTAAAAAAAATGAGTAATTTCCAGATAAAATAACAGCGAAATCAGTTTTCGCTTGCCAATAAAACTCATAGATATTGAAGCTCCATTATTAAAGGAACATTTTAGTATATGCCATTCTTTATAAAACTTCTTAGCCACGCAATACAAGCGCAAAATAAAGAGACACTGAAAACACGACCGATCACTCCGATTTACCATAGGAAAATACATAGACAATGTATGTCTCAACTGCGCCAAATATACAGACAGTTATATACCTACATGTGACGTCATGATTAGCCCGACCAATCAGAAGCAAGTTGTTTTCAGCCACAAATAATTAATTTCTGAACTAACTAGGCATTTTTTTAACAAAGTGATTTTAAATTAAATCATTAAAAATTCTGAGCTTTTCTATTTTACCAAAACATACAGAGCATGCAGATAGGTCCCAACCCTATTGTGCAGAAACACTTTTTTATGTATCTGTTATACTTTTTGTGTGGGAGAGCAGCTGAAATAAAAATGACGACTTGGGGAGAACTGGGACAACGTGCCTAAACCCTGTCCCAGTTCTCCCGCATGCAAATGCATGGGATTTTTTTCCAGGATACTCAGTGCTGTCAGCGTAATTCAAAAAAGATAATCGAGGTGATTTCTTTAGGTGTCAACTTTAAAAACACCTTCTTCTTCGTGCTGGGTCATCAAATTTTTATTGTATTCCATTTAAATCACATTTCTCGACCAGTCCCAGTTCTCCCCATCATCTGTCCCACTTCTCCTGGACGTGTCCCAGTTCACCCATTGTCAACCTTTCCTAAAATTTAAATTTGAGAAGTAACACGTGAACAAACAATCATAAAAACAGTAAAGAATAAAGAAGAAATGAACCGTTTACCAGTAAATGCAATCAATTTACTTAAATATTCTATTTTTTACGATTTTTTAAAGTTGACGTCAAAATAATGTCCCACTTCTCCCCAGTCTCCCCTACTATGAATTCAATTCAGTGCCTGATCTTACGATTTCAACATGTTTCCTTCTTGCTCCAAAAGCTGGAAAATGCATATTAGAAC